GACCTAATAACATCATCACTGGTATTTCATTTGCTGTTACAATCAGTTACAATATGCAAATTTAAAAATTTGCAAACTTTTGATTCAGTATGTTTTCTCCAGAAATTGCTCACACAGCCTTCTTGAAACATTGAGCAAACCTTTCAGCCAATCTATTAGGAGCTGGATGATAAAAGCATTGAAGTTATACAGTATACGATTCCATATTTTTTAAGGAATGTTTGAAACTATTGTACTACAGTTTGTGTTTGTTTTTTGTTCTGGAACACCAGTTGTCACAAAGGATTATTTCAGTGCGTCTGTGGTATGCATAACAGTTGTTGAAGCCCCTGGAAGCATTTCTGGGCACATTGAATGTGCATCCTCAACTAAAATGGTTGTGCTGATAAATGGTCCTGCAAAGTCTAGGAATTCTTTGCTATGGCAAGATAGGCCATTTCCATGAGTGAAGTAGTATTGTTTTGGGCATTCCTTGGTACACCTTGCAACTTAAGCAACTCACTACAAGCTATTTGGTTTCTTACTCTATTCCTAGCCACCAAAGAAAACTTCAAGCAAATGCCTCCATCTTCACTACTCCAAGATTTCCAGTAAGAAGCTCCTCCAACAAGCAAATTCTGTTTGGATGATAATGCTGACTCTAAATCCTCACATAATACAACCATTGAGAAGTGTTAAGATTGTCACAGAACTGATCAAACTCTACAAAATGCACTTTTGCTATGTATTTCAGCATTCTAGATTGCTGCATAGACTTGAGACAATGTTGGGTCTCCCCTAGTCCTTTTTAAATAATCTCCACAGTGTTTACATTGAGGAGAAAATGTTTGCCTTTAGAGAGCTTATGTTATACTGTGAATTAAATATATTAATTGCCGTACCTGCTGAACATACCAAGGTGACTTTCATATTATGATATATTTACTTGTACTTACTTATACATAGGGGATGCGGTGGCACAGCAGCTTAATGATGCTGAAAGTTGCCAGCCAGAAATGGTCGACACTTCAGCAGTTCGGGCCCAGCTCCATGTGGCAGAGTGAGCTCCTGTCTCATCCCCAGCTTCTGCCAACCCAGCAGCTTGAAAGCATCTGCAATAAATGGGTACTCTCACCCTGGTGGGATAAAAAATACTGACGGTGCCTTGCACGGGAGATGGGACCAGTTGCTGGTAATGTGGAAGCTGCGTACGCCTGAAAAAGGCGCGAAGCAACGGAAACCCCGCTTCCTGCACTTGCCAGCTGGGCTCCGCTCTAGGAAGGAGGCAACGGCAAACTACTTCCGAAACACCTTGCCATGAAAACCGCAGGGACTTGTCCAGGCAGTCACCACAGAACTGGCCACTATTGAGTGCGGATTTTAAAAAAAACAACTTATACATAATTTTATACTTGCTTAAGTTAGCTGGATTGCCTTCCTGTAATACCCTGGATTGCCTTCCTGTAATGTTATGGGCCCATATCCCTATAGCAGTTATGTACCTTGAAGAACTGCAACACTCTCAAGAATGTGATTAACAACACACTATCATCTCCCACTCCCTGTAGTAATGTACAGGGATGTTGCTATATCCTCTTCAGGATGTTACTGTAATTCCTCATCTTTATCTCTATCAGTTGTAAAACAGCTTCTTTTGAATGTTCATGTCTGTAGGTACATGCTCAAGTTACTGTGACCTATATAAGAACTCTGTAAACTCATATCTGACTTATGGTAGTTTGGTAGCTTTGATAAAAATATTAGAATGATTGTTGGATCTTCACCATACATACTTACAGTGAAGGTGATGCAATCAGTTACAAGAGAGATGAGGGGCAGTTTGTGTCAGCATTGTGCAGAAGCCAATTTTTTGAAACAACAGCAGGCACATTATGTGGTAGAAGGGTTATACAAGCACAACAGTATAAATTTGACTTGGTAGTTAGGAGATCTCTTGATAAAAGTGGAGTGCTGAAAATAGGAGTACTTTGAGATTCTGATCCAAGCTGAAAGGTACAAGGCTGTGCAAAGCTGCCCTAGAAACAGAACATTACTAGATATAGATTATGGAGTATAAGATGGCTTCTACACCTTCCTCTTATGAGGAATACAGCAATACTCCATGTAAAAACCTGTTGTAAGTAGGTAAATCTGCATGCAGAGAATGTCTTATTATTCAACTTTGTAAATTTCCCTGCAAAAACAATTTTGACCAGTTTTTGAATTAAGATGCTTCAAATAAGCATATTAAAGGCATACTGATAGCGAATTTAAAAAGTGAACCTTCAAAAGTCAGGAACATAAACTGTGATTTCCATTATTCAAATGGACAAGTCTTTTTTGCCTTGTTAGGATAAGTATTTAAAAGTCTGTGCTTTTCTTATGTATTTCATTCTAACCATTACTAATTTGGTACGTACTTCAATCAATTTTCATTAAATGTACTCATTTGCCCCTTAAGAAGAAAACGTATGGTAAACTTCAGTTACACCCTTTTAATAATCTCTGAGTTCTAAAGTCGCATTTAAATAAAGAGAATTGTGAACATGTTAGGCTTATAGCTTTATGTGCACAGTCACAAAAGGTAAGAGACGTGATGTGCAACTGAATGAATTGGGGATTCCTTGACTAACTCCTCTCCCCTCTCCGCACAAAAACACAGGCATTAGATCAAAGTTCTTCTCTAATATACATCTCCATTTCTTGTTATTCGTGTGTATGTGTGCCTGTCTGACTACGTGGAACAGAAAGGCATCTTCCGATGTAATTGTTTTTAGTTAAATGTCTATTACCAATGAACATGTAACTTTACTTACAACATTTTAGACATACAAAATAAGTGGCAGGAAAAACTGTATGCATTAATAAGTAACATTAAATAAGAAGCTAAAAGGCACTAAACATCCTGATTATCTTCCCAAATCATCCTATACAGGATTATAAATACAGAGAAGAGAGTTATGTGATTAGAAATAAGGTACAAATTAGGATATTAAGCTTTATAGAGTATGAATTACTTATTAGGTTTTTGATGTTTAAGGCACACCTGAGCTTCAGATAAACTGTTTCAAAATAAATCTTGATTCTAATTTTCAAATTACTATAGTGGATAATATACCAATAACTGTATCAACAGTTGATAGTGGCTATCAACTCAGAACTTTTCTGTTTCTTGACACTGATGGACCACTTTCTCAAATCATTCCCTTGGAAATTTGATCCTGAGTACTTCTAGTATCTTCTTCAAATGTTTTAAATTATTTATTGCTTAATAAATGAACAGTATTATAATTATTTATTAAGAATATCTCCAGGCTTCATGGCAATATGGTATACTACATATACTAAACAGATATTTCTGTCATACAGTGGCACAAAGAAGGTATTTATGACTGTTATGAATTAATAATTACCTAAATATCCATTCTGACATCTAAATGGGGCAATTTAAATCCCTGTTTGATCATTTCTTTTCAGATAGTTAGTGCCATGTCATGCTTTGTTTTCCACTCATTTGTGGAATAAATTGAGAAGTCTTCTGTTATCTTATTGCAGTAAAATGGTGAAAATTCCATTTAAAAATTTCTTTTTTTTAAATGTACATACCCAAACCCATTAAGGAATAAAGCATAATTACACAATATCTTTGGGCTGGTATTGGTAAAAGCCATTTATCTGAAGGCAACTTTCTAATGTTACAAATGCATATATGAGAGATAAAAGATAGCCCTGGTGCCAAGGTATTCCATCCTGCGCAAACCAGCCTGCTCCATTAGCATTTTTATCTATCTACAGCTGTTTCATCCCTTCCAGAGAAGACATCCATTAGTTGTTTCAGTTTCTGAGAGTTGAAAGAAGGAAAAAAAATAGTGCCATGCTTTCGTAGAAATGGCAGATTCTGTAATATGCACAGTTGTAGGAGAATGACTTTTAAGATAATTACTCTGGTCTAGAGACAATGCCTTGATCAAAGACAGCCTCAGATATTTTCCTAGCCAGGGGGGAAAAAAAACACGAAAACTGACTAGATTGACAGTAACATCTTATTTCAAGGCTTGTGGAGGGTCAGGATCCTCCACCATAACTAAGATGGGCAGTCTTCCAATCCCGGTCAATAATTCCCAGCCTTCCAACATCTACTATTTGAAGCGAACTTCTCACTGGTCCTTACCTCATCTTTGTTGTCCGCAGACTGCCCTGTCACAGAATGTGTTTCTCATGCAACCTAATTAATTTCTTAGTAATGAACAAACCATTTGAGCCAGCCCTGCTCTCAAGGGAATTGACAACACTCCTTGGATGTTGGCAACTAGTAGATTGTTAATCTGTCAGCCCAGCACTAGCTGGAGTACCCACCATTAAGTTCTTTTATAAAAGCAGGCAGCATTTGTAGAAACCTAATTGCTTTCCTAGTCTTCTAGCCATTTATCTTGTGTATTCTCCTGCAACTAATTGCATGTAGTAATTGGTTGCACACAGCAAAAATAATTTCCCTGCGCAGCTGCCTAGTTTAGTTACAGTTGGATACCACAGGCCACACAAAGCCACTTGCCCGTCTCCTACCAGTTTATGCTGGATAGCTCTTTTTATAATAATGCCCCCATTCCCCATAAGTAGCTTGAAATCAACGCATAAAAGAAAAAAAGGGAAAACGACTACGTGTCAGGAAAGCCTAGCTTAACGATGACAAGCGAAACGTAGCTACCAGCAACGTAGGAGCGCATGTCCGTTCCATCCTAGTCTATCGATGTATCGGCTTGTGCCCGGATGGGTGAAAAGAGGGAGCCCACTTGGCCATCTGATTGGCTAATATCACTCCCTGCTATCTTCTGATTGGCTATATAAAAAAAGCTACGTTTACTTCTTCTTCTGATTGGTTCCTCTCCCTCCAGCGAAACTGCTGTATCTTTCGGGTAGTACCAGCGCTGATTCCTGCCCATCCCACCTTCTCTCGTACGTTTTCTGTTCAGGGATTGGCTACCCAGGGAATCCTTTCCCCTCCTCTTTCCCTCGACAGGATAGACTCTGTTCGGAGGAACGAATGAAGTTCGACGGTTAGAATTGGGCTGTATCCCTCCCTCGCGCCTTCTCTTTCGGCCCCGCCTCTCGGGCTCCGTGCTGCGAGCAGCCCCTCTTCTCCGCCCAGTGGTTCGGGTGGGAGGTTGCTGGCTGGGTCTGCTCGAGCGAGCCCCGAGGGGATTCCTTCCTTTTTCCTCAGCCGTGCGCGCGCCTCCCAACGCTTCTGGGATAACGGTAAGCGGTGGGGCAAGTTGAGCGGGGAGCGCGGCGTTTCGAGGCACATCCGAACTCGTGTGGCGGCGGAGGTAGAAGAAAGCGGTCTAGGCTGGGATGGGTCACCGGGAGACCTCCTGCGCGGCTGGGCTCTGTCTCTCCGCGTCCCTTGTGCGGATCCGTGCGTGTTTGCGCGTGAATGCTCGCAGATACGCACCGTACAATTGGGTGTGTGATTCGAGGAGTGATTGTGCCGAACTCTGCGCGTGTGTGCAAAAGCCGGCTCCAGCCTTGGGGGATTGGGCCCCGTTCCAGTGACCTCTCGTGCTGTTGCGGAAGGAGGAGTGACACTGCCGCCCTGGCCCCTCTCATGGCACCCGGTGCGCTTTTTGGGGCAGTCAAGCGGAAAGACAGTCTCCCCCTGCCTTGTCTCTCTCTCGAAATCCCGACGACCCACCTGGCTGTTCTTTTTTAGCTGAAGTATTTGAGAGTGGGCTCTGCTTTCCCCTCTTTAAGCTGGATCTGGCTGCTGCTGAACTTACGTGTGTCTTTCTGAGTGGCTATATGAACAGGGCAGTTAGTTCTTTAAGGCATCCTTTACCTAATCTGGCTCAAAATAAACAATGACAGGTGCCGTGAGCAGCACTATTTTTTGTTCCCTCCATCTTTCGAGCACAGCTTCAGTGTGAAACAGAAGTGCTAATGAGGGTGTTTCCCAAAGCACAGTTCTGGTATTACACATCATAAAGTCATTATACAGCTGTTTTGTCTTTTGCTCAACAGTTTTCCCCCCGGAAGAAGGAGGCAATATAAACATGGTAGAAAAATAGAAGGTTTTTCTGGCCCTTCCTGTTGTGGGCTCTTTTTCCTTTTTTTTTTTTTTTTTGGCCATTTTGCGAAAGAGGCAAGTCAGTTGAGGATAAAATTCTTCTGTGGAACTGCCCAGAATATAAAAGAGTAACGGTGATTCTGAACATAAAGTTATATGAAATTATCTTGCATAAGCTAGAGACAGCATTTAGAGAACATTAGCTTCAGTGCTCCAGTTTTCTAAAACTACGGGAGTAGGAGTGATGCTGTTCAAAAGGAATGAATAGTCTTTAAACTTCTCCCTAATAATAAAAGCTGGCAAGGTGATTTTAAGGCCAACCTGGACAAAAATGAGAGCAAGTAAATCTTTGGAGCTTGGATGCTTATTACTTGGATGCTTATTTCCCAGTTTCCTTTCAGCCCAAAGACCTTATGAAGGGAGAAAAAATTAAAATGTTTGTGTCCTAGGGTGTTTGTCTTGATGTATGTTGGTTGAAATCAGAACAATGTACGAAACAATTTCGAAGATATTAATATTGCATTTTCTGACCAATAAACATAATAATTCTGATAGTTGGTTTTTTTCTTTTAATTAAGAATCTATTGAGAACAATTTTTTGTGTAATTTTGTCTGGGGCCAACACTTTGTACTATAAGGAGAGTAAATATGAAAAATACATTATTAATAACATTTTGTCTTATTTTCCTACATTCTACACAGTCTGTTAATATCTGTTGGCTGTTATGGACATTCTACTGATTGATTAGGTTCCACCTAACATTCTTGAAATCGTGAAATTAAAGTGAGAGCTTATCCTGAATTAGTGTTCTGCTCAAATGTATTTATATTCTCACTTCTCTCTCTATCTGTAGCAAATACTGAGTATCAGTTCAGTATTTTTAACTTCAGAAATGTATGGTTTATAAATTATGAAGTTATCTGACTCTAGTCTAAATATTGATATGTTAATTGTATCTGAAATGTTTATCTACAGGATGAGGTGCATTGTAATTAACTCTTGAAATTGTGATTCAAGACTTCCTTGTAATGAAGAGGTTATGGGATATTTTAACACTGAAGATAAAAGTATGATATAGAAAAAGTTCTTCATCCAAAATAGTTGTATTATAATTAATCATGTCCATGTAGCCTGTTTTTGTGAGGCCTAGTTATGGCCATTCAGTGTTGTCTTCCTTAGTTACTCTGCAAATCATGTCTTTAATCAAAAAGTTCATTAGCTTGTTCCTCAAGTGCTCATTGTAATCTTAATAATAGTGGCTTAATGTGCCTGAGCAGGATATACAGTGCCTCCTCGCCTTCTAATTCAATTTCTATATCAATATATTTGGGTCATCTTTTATAGAAAAATAATTGCTGCCTTGAAATAGATATTTTATATTAGGCTATTGACATTGGTGGCAAAAAATAAAATCATTCCTGTTAGGGTAGCCCAAGGAAAAAAAAAACTTTTCCCTCATATTGTTTTATTGAACAATAGCTGCTGTTTAAAAAAAAATCAAGCACTGACTATGTCATAATTGTGCTACAATATGCTGGCCTCAAAATAAACAATAACAGATAATTTTCTATTGAAATTAAGACTCACTTTCAAATACTAATAGCAAAATGTGACTCTATATTTTTAACCATATATACCCATTTCCTTCTTTTTCTGAGTTGACTAGTTAAAAGGGAAGGGAATATTACTTGGCAATATAGATTGCACTTTATATTGGGCTCAGGCTGAGATGCTGATCCTGCCTGACATTTTTCTTCTGTGCAGTTTTGAAATATGTAAGAGGAATACTAGCATAAATTCTTTAAGGCGCTTTGATGTACAGTTCTTTATATAGACTGTCTTTCAATAGTTTGTGCACCTGCAACTGCATAATCTCCAGATAGTATAGACCTTAATATTAGAAATACTTAAAATGAAATTATAGATTTTTCGAGTAGAAAACATTTCTAACATTAAACAATAAATTCCAGGAATATAAATAGCACTGGCAAAGATGAAAAAGGATAATCATGAGTAACTTATAGTGGCATGCTGCCTTTAATTTTTAGTGGGAATATACCAGTATAAGCTCAGAGTATTGTGTCCAACAGCTAAGAATACATTTAAATTTTGGATTTAAAGTTCCTTTGGCACTACAAAACTATCTAGTTGATTATTCTGGAATATTTGTTAACTATGATATTCATTATATATACTTGGTTTTAAAATACAGAGGCATAACCTGTAGTTTTAAACTTCTTGTGGTACAATGTGCTGCTGTTGATTTGGGTTTGTGAGAATTGTGGCCCTCCCACCTCCCATTAGAGTGGAGAAGACAGTATTATAGTAAGTACTACAGAATAACAGAAATGATTTGTGTACTATTTTAAAGTTTAATTGAAAAAAAATGTTGGTGCAAGAAAGCTGGCTCAGACATAAAGCACAATCACACAATGTGGCTGAAGGGCTGACATCAAATATGATTTCATTTAATTCAACAGATGCAGTTTATGTTGCTTTTTAGTCGCCAGGGAAAACTCAGACTTCAGAAGTGGTATGTCCCATTATCTGACAAAGAAAAGAAGAAAATCACAAGAGAACTTGTTCAAACGGTCTTAGCCCGTAAACCGAAAATGTGCAGCTTTTTGGAATGGAGAGATCTGAAGATTGTCTACAAAAGGTTGTATTGCCTCATAATCATATAATTACCTCTACATTTGAGAACAGCCATATAAGATAATAAAAACTGTTTTATTTCCTTATTGTAGAAAAATGTGTTTCCTTTTATGTAATTCATGCCTAAAATGCTAGTTACACATTTTAAAATGTACCAAAAAAATTATTTTGTTGTTAAATATATATCCCACCTTGCCTCCAAAAGCTCAACATAGTACGTATTGCACTCTTCTATTTTTTTCCCCTAACTAGCAATAACCTTATGTTGTGCAGTAACCTGAGAGAGTAGTTGGCCCAAAGACAGTTTCATAGCTGAAGGTGGATCTGAACAGGATCTTAACCACTACATCACGCTGGTACACTGCACTATATACAATAGTTCTGTATTCAGGTACTAGTAGGTGAAGCATACAGGTTTCAAGAGAGTGCTTATTCACTGTGGATTAACTAAAATTTTACTTCATCTCATTAAATATGGAAATATTGTAAGAGTATGCTACTTCATTCTTTTGACGGAGGAGAAATCTAGATCAATTGAATACTGACTATTTAAATGCAGTACAAACAATTTTGCTCATGTTCAAGTAAAGTTAGTTCATCCTTTTTTCAGTGTGTTACAAGTAATAATTACACAAATCATAAATCTGTTTAGGTTGAAAATGTTATGCTGTACAAATATAAAATATTTACCCCAAAGGAAGCCATGTCTGTTGAGGCTTTTACATTTCAGATTTATGAAGATTAATTGACATGTATATTTGACTAACTAATTGACAGTTAACATCCCCACTCTCAAAATTTTTCCCCACCCTCAAAATTAAAATATTGATTTATGTATTTTTTTTCTGTAGTATGTTGGTGCTGTAGAATAAAAAACTAATTTGATATATTTTTATTCATTTGTTGCACACTGCTGTTTCCAAAACTGTCTGTTAACATACTAACATCCTTTAGAGAGAGACAGTAAACATATAGAGAGATGTTTATATGAAATCTTGTTCCTCAGCAAAATGGTTTATTAATATCATATAAAATGGGTCTAAGTGTATGCCTAAAATCTAGAAAGAGAAGGCTTATAAGACAGTCTACCAAAAATTGAGGAAATGATCCCTTCGCACATCAAATATCAATGAGGACCACAGTGTGAATGATGAAAGAAAGGTTTCTGGTTTTTTAAATTTAAATTCAGTTTGGGGCCTATAAATGGAAATAAAATTCAGTTTGAGTTATATACATTTCGTGATATGAATCCTACTGAGCCATCTCCTTTCCCTATCACACAGTAACTGCACAAGAACAGTTAGCATGTATCAGGAGCACTGGCTTTGAAGAAAGTGCTTTTTCTGATTTAAATTTTCTATACTTGACATACATTTTTCACAGATTGCCATTTGAAATGTTATATCCTTCAGTGAGGATTTGTCTGACAAACTCTGTGCATAATTTGAATTCTGAAACTGATCCCAAATCTTAGTATCCTCACATCATTTCTTGTAACAAGTTTTGTTCAGGTTAATATATTAAGACTGTATTCAATATAAGGATAAACTTCTAATGAAGTGTCCTATTCATTATCTTAGTTTTAATGAGCATTAAAATTAATGGTGCTTTAAGAGTTACATGGGAGATTGGATCCTGATATGTGTGCTACTTACATTTAAATTGAGATTGCTAAACAGACCACCTGGGGTGATGTAGACAGGAAAGAGGGAATCTCTAACCAAGATCTTTTTGAGATGATTTCCACAAAGAATTCAAGCATAATATTTAAGAATTTTTATTTACTAAAATTATAAATACTTTATTTCCCTGCTCAGTCAAAGGATGGGTGTCTTTTAAAAACAGAATGTCAATGTTTTTCTATTTATTGCCATGCAGCAACCATATATTTTCATATGAAATAAATAAGTGATTGAAACTCAATGATTTATGTTTTTTCAGTGATGCTCAAAGTGTTTCATGGACCAAAAAACAGTGTAATAATTAAATAGTCAGTGGAACATAACAGTGTGAGAATAAATTATGTAAAATACCAGCTGACTATATCCTTAAGGGCTGTTTTAATAAGGCTGCAGTATTATATGCACATCATCAATTAATGAAAAAAGGATTTGCATCCATATAGATATATGGACTCTCCCCAAATATGTAACATTCTATTTTAGAGAGACTTATGTAACTCAGTGTTTACATGCCATATACTTTTTGGTCTATGTTTAAGGCAAATTTTTATGCACTTTAAAATTTTAGAAACTTTAGAAATGGCTTATATGCCTTAAGTTGAATTTATAGAAGTCAGTTCTAAGAAACTGGTGGAAGATTGTTTCTAAGATTGCACCATTAAAGGATTTCACAGCCCTTGTATAGTAATCATGCAACAAACTTCTACCAGGATTTAAAAAATCATGTTTAACTTTCATCTTGTTCGTGGAGGTAAAGCTGTCTTTGCCTGTTTGGATGTTTGTATTCCAAAACTCTCTGTTAACATGCTTGTTCTCAAATTAAAGTCAAACTGAAAGAGCAGATACAGGAAGAATGAAATTGGGTGTTCCTGAAAACGTCAGAGGGAATACTTCATAATATTTTCAAAAATTTGCAGCCTTGAAACTGCCAGAGATACCCTAGAAAGAGCCAGCAGCATCTGTAGGATCTTGGTGCTTTCATTATTCTGAAAAAAAGGATTGTAGTGCAACTCTGCTTCTTTTGGCCTGTGGGCACTATTGTGGAACATACAGAAAAGTAGTGGGGCTTGTGCTGCTGCTTCTGTCAGTCTGAGCCCCTTTGTCCTCCCCAGTGGGTTAAGCAGTAATGAAAGATGTTATAAAAGCATGAGTGACACTTTTGAAAACTCTTGCAATTATACAGCTTTTTAATGCTTCACTTTTGTGCCTGCTTTTCTTAGTGCCATAACTATCTTTCCTTTTGTTCCTTTGTTTCTTCTAGTTTTGACTGTTTGAACCTGCTTTTTTTGTAGTTTGGGTTACAACAATCAGAAACAGAAAATTGTAACTGATTAATGTGCTTTTCTGTCTTTTGTTGTTTAATTTGGTCATCAGTTTTGAGCATAGTAGAATACCTTATTTAAGACAGTTTAAATTATAATGAGAATAAAAACTCACCTCTCTAGAAGAGATGAGCAACTTTTATTGTTCAACAAACTCTGTCTTCTTCTTAACAACCATTCTTCATAACCAATATTTAGAGAAAGTGAAGAAAAGGGATTTTCAAAGCAATTTTTACTATGTGCTTCTGAGTTTCTTTGCTCAAAGTTACCTCAGGTTTACTTTTAAGTCTAATGTTTTATTGTCAAATTCTGCAAAATATGTCAATTTGTTTAATTTTATTTTTAAAATTAGACATTTTTGTTAAAGTGTTACTCAACATAGGCAAGACTACAAAAGTCTGTTATTGCTGCTAAATTAAATATGTGTGTTACAGATATGCAAGCCTCTATTTCTGCTGTGCCATTGAAGATCAGGATAATGAATTAATAACCTTGGAAATAATTCATCGTTATGTAGAATTACTTGATAAATATTTTGGAAGTGTAAGTTATTCCCTGTATTTTTTTTCTAGCTTTACAAAATCTCAGAAGTAATTTCATTGGTGCTCAGTGAACAAGAAAGGAAGTGGCGCAGAAAAATTTCTGTCTCTGACCCCTGAAAAAAGCCCATCAAAATCAGGACTTTCCTGAAACAGCATAGAAAGTGGTGGTTACCTAGAGGGAGAGGAAGAAACCAGAGAAGTTACTATCTTAAATTCTTCTTCAGGGAAATCTGTTGTAGGGATGAGATGTCTTTCTAGGTCCATGGCAGAAAGTTGGAATTTTAGAATCTGAAAATTTGAAAATATTTAGTGGGTACATTTAAAAAATAGCCTGTTTGCAAAATGTCATAATAATGAGCATGACCAGTTACATAACACCAATTTACCATAAATGGAACTAGCTCCCCCAAATCTCCAATGCTTTACCCATTAGGGTACTTTGTGCATCTAAAGAGATAACTGCAAAAAGAGGCTGGTGCTTTGCTTTGCAACTTCCTATTTAATATTTTAATTAAAAATATTTTTAAAAAGTTGGGTGGGGCAGGAAGCCCTCGAGCATAGTAATAACCCCATGAATTCATTTCATTGTGTCTTGTGGCTATAGAAGGTTGTCAGGGTTTACAGAACAATTAATAAGGGACATTTTTGCAAAGAGGACTAGTTCATAGCTAATCTTCATGTTGTTTTTAAAATGCTAGTTTAGTCACACATTCATAATTTTCTCGCTTTGCTCTGTTCCAATAATTGATCATATGAACATTTATTTATGTAACACTATTGATAGGCTCCCCCAGACTTTGCAGATGCTGATCAGGTAAACAGTCAAGTTAAAAATGCAATATTACTATTAATAGCATCAGTAAATAACAGATGTAATCAATAAGCAAACAAATTAATAATGGGCAAAATTACTTTGGCTCCTTTGCAAAATGCCAACACGGTTGGGGTCATTCTTACTGCTGGAAGGAAGCATTCCTTAGATTGTTGCAGAGAAGTCCTGTTTTGGCATTGCATCTCTCTTTTCTTTAATGTTTTCTAGGTCTGTGAACTTGATATCATCTTTAATTTTGAGAAGGCTTATTTTATTTTGGATGAATTCCTCTTGGGAGGGGAAGTTCAAGAGACCTCAAAGAAAAATGTTCTTAAAGCCATTGAACAGGCAGATCTATTACAAGAGGTATACAATTTTTGTTTCTTCACTAAAGTGCACCAGCATGCTGGGCTGTTACACATGATTTTGTTCTATTTCTTCCAAGTTGCAAAAAAGCTTTTCACTACTTCTAGCAAATAATTTATAGTTAATATCTCCTTCCATGTGGTATTGCTTTGCCTTTGTCTTCTATTTAGACTTCACTCCATTCAGTATATATCTTGAACAAAATGAAAACATTCTTTTTAAATGCTTTTACTTTTTTCACATTTTATGTTGCTACACAATTGTATTCATATGGATCCAGCCACTTGTCTGTTCAGCTTACATTCTGCCTTTTTAATTAATTGAATGATTGAATAATTTTGTTATACTTGATGCATGTATGCCTCTTTACTTTTTCATTGCTGAAATCCAGAAACTAGATTTGCCTTTTTAAAACACTTGCAGGTATTGTTATCATTAAGTGTTTTAAAAATAAATCATATTGCCATAGCTAATATAATTTGATGAGTAGTAAGTGTTTATAAAATCATTTTAATACTAGTATTAGAACTAGATTAAGGGTTGAACCTATATCTGAACTGCTAACTAATCCATTACTACTACTTCTTTTTCTGGCCTTTAGGCATCCAAAACACCTTGCCCTGAAGTGATTTAAAATTTGAACTTGGATTAATGGAGTAGCTGAAATATATTTCTTTATTTCTTATTTAATTAGGAAATGTATTTCCTGTTTACCCGAGTGTGGTCACAGAGCAGTAAATGATGCCTTTCTCATCATTCTTTCATAATTATAATCTTTAAACTATAATATAGTTGTGGTATGTTTTGAGTGTAGTTCTATCATGTTAGCAACAAGAGTCAGTTTCTATATGTGGTTTTAGGAAAACTGAGTTAAGGCTGTGTGCTTGGCTTGCTATGTAAATAGAAACTATTCAATTTTTTTTTCAAACATTACATGGGATATATTCATAGATGTATATATATATAAATAACATTTGTCACTGCCCATCTCATTAAAAAAAACGACTCTGGGTGGTTTACAAAGAAGTTAAAACCAATTAAAAATACAATATAAAATGGTCTTGAATAAATAGAAAATAAATATCATCCAAGAATAGACGTTACATTGGCAGGTAGCTCGGGGAGTGTCATCAAAGCGCCAGCCAACCCCAGGATTGGGTGAAATTCTTATTGCCCCACGCAAGATGGCAGAGCCAGGTCTTTAATCCTTTCTGGAAAGCCGGGAGCGTAGGGACATGCCACATTTCTGGGGAGAATATTCCAAAGGGCAGGGGCAATCTGTTCCCTTATGCATATTTTGTCCCTGTATTTATCAGTTGAAATGTTTAATATAGCTATTTAAGAGAAATACAATTCATTTGGTTATTTGCCATTCTAGAAGGAACTGATTATTTGAAAGCTTTCCTTATTTAAAATATTTAGATATTAATGAGAAGGCTAACAAGGTGGAAATTTTCCATGTGGAAGTTCTTAATGTGTTGTAGTGTCTTATCACAGTTACTGGCAGGAAAAAAGATAGGAAATTTGCTTGTTTGACCACTTCAGGTAAGATGCTCAAGGTATGTTGAAGAAGCTAAGAAAATTTCCCAGTAGTTTGTCCTGAAGAATGTTGTTGCCCTGGGGATAATCACGGAAAGGACAGGAGGTCAGGAATTGTTACAAAATTCCCAAGGAATCCCTACTTCTATAGCTCAATAGTTAGGAAAGAAGTTGATCATGCAGTATGCTAGCTATGATAGAGAAAAAGAAATTTGGTAAAGTAAACTAAATAACCATGCTATATATTATACCCTTTTCTAAAGTCTTTGTAGAAGAAAAAATATCCAAAATGTTTAATATGTAAAACCCATGACAAATCTGTAGCTTCTGTTCCGATATTAATCTCACAGAAATTAATTGTACGTGCATCTGTTCAAGATGTTTTCAGAGTGAGAAAATTTGTCTCTGAGTTCACTGAATTCTCTATAATATGTATTCTTTCTTTTCCACTGGTGCATATTTGGAATTAAATACTTTCCTTGTAGAGTCTTGAAATGTAATATCTGTATTAGATATCTAATATATTAATGAGGGACTCTAATAGATGAATAGAAATAAAAGTTTAAAATTATGGTTGGTTATTTTATTTTTTATAAGTGTGCATCTTAATCTCAACATATGTGTTTTTATTCCTTTGCTTATGCAAGGAATTTTTGCTTTATATTCAATGACCTATTCAGTAAAGTAAAAGAGCCCTTATGCAAAATTAGGCAAAGAAAGATTTGCTTGTCTCACATTTTTCATTAGTACTATACAATCTTCCTTCTTAAGATCTTAAGAGAGATTATTTGTTTTTTGGTACAATTTGATAGGCTTCAGTGCTCATCACTTAAGTACAAGGATGAAACTTAAGTGCTCATCAATAAAGGACAAGCATAAAATAAGGGCAAAAATTTTCTCAAAGGGTCTTATTTGGGCATTATTATTATCATTATTATCAATAATATAATGAAATTAATCTAACAAAAAAGTTATTATTCCTAATAAGAACTTGTTTAATTATGATATGCCCATTAGTTTTTGAAATTAAGGACTTTTTTCACTGTAACTTTGTTTTGTTAAATTGGTATATCATTGCTTACACATTTTTTTGCCAGCTCTGCAAGTAGACAGTTACCTACTTGCAGAAGCAGGAATTAGTTTTGTAATGCCACACTTACCCACAAGCTAAAATTCTGCTGAAAAGTAGGAATGATTTATGGATCCTTATTATAGCTGGCTCTGTTTTAAACAGTAATTGATTTTTTGTGAGAAAAGCTGAACTGGAGTCATAATAAAGAGCTGAAAATATATGAGGAAAGTTATAATGGAGGAAACAACAGCTTAGGAAAGTAACTCTTAACTTGCTGGTTATCCCTACCAGACTGATACCCTGATGTAGCTGAGGGCAGAAGTGCAAGGAATAAACATGGGTATTGTAAGGGTTAAACATTTTGTTTACACATTTTAGACTTACTACTCTTCAGGTAATTAACGATATAGGTCTCCAGACCCGAATCGGATAAAATATATATTTGATTCAGCAAAAATCCTATTTTATTAATGACCACTTTTGTTCAAAGTCCTTCTATATAATTAGGTTCCTAAAGAAATGACTCAGTACTATGCTATATTATTATAATGTAATAATATTATATCCAATATTACTAAATTGGTCCATATAAAAATGTGACATTATGACTCTCCCATACTAGTTATTCTTGTTACAGAAAACTAAAAACAATGTGTAAAAGCTAGGTAACTGAGAAGAGATATCTATGTTACCGATGGAGTAACCAATGGATGCTGTCATAGTTTTTCTCATTCATCTTGTTGCTATCTCTGTGATATCTTCATTCTATTGATATTGTAGTGACATGAGATCTACCTTTGGGGATATAAACATGTTGCTTCTTTAATGTATATGCTGGGTGTCTGTTTAAAATAAACTGGGCACTCTGATAATCAGTACCTGATCTTTCTTTTGAGGAGATGTATATCTCTGAACCTCATGCATAATTCAGGAAACAAGCACTTCTTTGTGTAGAAAAACTATATAATCACCATTACAAGCCTTGGTTTTAAATTAGAGAATTTTCACCACCCTGCTTAAATGTTTGATATTTCAACCTGCAGTCACAGAATTAATCTTTAAAGCATGCTAAGGAGATTGCACTAGAGCTATGTTTCCTGCTTCAGTATTTCTCATGTCTTACATTGTAGTTTCTTAAAGTAGATTTAAATACAGTGCTTATAAATATTGATACAATAGTTGATAAATAATATGAGCAGAATCTGCGTGTGAGTACAGAAACAGTTTGAAGAGGTTCTTAAGCTTGTGGAAGAAAGATGCTGAGCTTTTTATTCTCTTGCAACTTACTTCCTTGCTTTTTTTTTTTTTCGCAATTGTAATTGCACTTTCTATGTTTCTGGGTCCAGTATTAGGACTGACTGAAAGGGAATAGGAAGATTCAATTTTCCCTTTTACTGTTAAAAAAATCCTCTTACCCATCCCCTCTTTATATATGAATGGGGAAGACAAGTAAAAAGAAGGATGTCCCTGCTACTGCTGCATCTCCTATGGCTTTTATAAGCAATCCTCTTACTGTGTTGAAAATAAGTACCCTAATTATGAGCTTGGCAACCTTCTGAAAAAGAAGAATCTTGCTACGTTGATTTATCATATGGTAAGGGTGAGGTGTGTCTGTGTAATTCATTCATTTTTTTTCTTCATTACATTTTCACTAGCTTTATTCTTTATAATACTTTAACTCATGCAGAGAAGCCTTAAGTGTACTTATATCCACAAACCTATGTGAAGTTGATTATCTTTACACAAACATGCAAAAATACACTATAAAATTTTCAATTGTGCTTAATTTTGTTTGTAGAGCCAGAATGAAGACTGGGGAGGTTTGTCTGAGGATATCTTATGATTAAGAACAATCTAAAGCCTTAGCGCTTTGGCCCCTACCTGTACAATTGGTAACTACCAAATTTACCTTTTGGTGGCATGGATTACATGAGTGCTTTGCAGAGGTTTGCACGTGTAACAGAACCCTTGCCTGTTAAGCAAGAAGAGGAACAGAAAGTGGGCTTAATCTTTTGCCATATTTGCTTGACAGAATGGACGTTTGCTTTGGGTGCTCTGTCTTAACTTTATTTTTCATACTAACAGCATCAATTTTGAAGTGTGTGGTGCATGGTTTTGTTCTAGTGATGTTAATGATTTTTGTATGCTGAAAGGGCTTAAAAGATCCCCACTTTAATCAATAAACAGATCGCTGGTCTTATAAAGCAGTTTAAACTATTTTCTGGAATACAGTGTTTACCATGAAATGAACAGAGACTTGCAGCAGAAAAAAGATAAGTTGTTAAATTTAGTGGAGTGTGTAAATGAGAAAAGCTGCAATATCTTACAGTTTACATTAGTGAATTGCTGATATAAATATAGATATAGCCTAAAAACCTGTCTTAAGGAAAAATATACCATATTTTTCCGACTATAAGACGATACTTTTTTCTAAAATCCTTACTCTAAAAACTGAAGGGCGTCTTATTCAAGGAA